TAAATCCTATAGACTTAGACAATAAGGAAATTCATTGTCACCTAACAGAGGGCTCCAGAGGTAGGATAGGGTCCCTCATAGGCAGATTTGGTGGCTCAGGGGTGTCAGTGGTTTATCACCTTTCCCCTCTAGGAGTCGATACACACCAAGTCACCTGGGGGAGAGGTGGCTACCCAACAACTTTGGGATTCTATCAGTGAGGAAGGATTGCTGTGTACATAGGTGTCCACCAGCATCCACTAAATCTCCTGTGTGTATTTCAAGTCCATTTACTAATTTTTCCTGTGAAGTTGCACAGACAGAAAATGTTTTGCTGGTGGTGGTTTCAGGTCATTGTTACTGATGTTTAACTTTGCAGTTAATTTTGTTGAGCTTTAATGGTGAGGTTGCTTTCTACCCTTAGTGGAAAAGATTCTGGGAGATAACTTGGCATTGTTTTCTTCCTCCTGCAAGTCAACAAGTTGACATAAGTGTGTGGAGTATTTTGAGTCAGGAGTCAGCAAGCCCTAGGTATAGTAGCCTCATTAATATATTATCTCCATCCCAGAGGGAAGGTCTTTAAGCTTAGGTCTGGGAAATTTAAGTCCCAGGAGTTTAATGTAGAGATTTTCTATAAATTTCTGACTTCTACTTCATAAGGCCACAGTTTGAGGTGTTGCTTTCATTACTGATCTTATTTATTTACTTATTTTTTAGAGACAGTCTCACTTTTTTACCTAGGCTAAAGTGTAATAGCACAAACACAGCTCACTGCAGCCTTGAACTCCTGGACTCAAGTGATCCTGCCTCAGCCTCCTGAGTAGCTGGGACTAAGGGCACACATCACCATGCCTGACTAATTTTTCTTATTTTTTCTAGAAATGGGGTCTCACTATATTGTTCAGGCTGGAGTGCAGTAGTGCAAACATAGCTCACTACAACCTTGAACTCCTGACCTCAAGTGATCCTCCAGCCTCAGCCTCCCAAAGTGCTGGGGTTACAGGTGTGAGCCACCACAACAAGCCCATTACTGATCTAAAATGAAACCAGAGTCAGGCAAAATGGAAAATGTAGAATTTGGAAATAGCAATCTTATCTAAGAAAGAATTCTGGGTTTTTTTTTGGAGACAGAGCCTCAAGCTGTCCCCCTGGGTAGAGTGCCCGTGGCCTCACAGCTCATAGCAACCTCCAACTCCTGGGCTCAAGTGAGTCTCCTGCCTCCACCTCTCAAGTAGCTGGGACCACAGGCACCCACCTCAATGCCTGGCT